CTAAACTGAAATTAACACAGACAAACTTTAATCTCTTGCATGCTTCCCAAGGCAGAGATTGTTTACGGGTTGCACATCTGTCACAGCTGGACTCCTTCCCCTCCTTTCTGCTTTCAGACATGCTTTTGTTCTAGCTTTCTTCGCTGACCCACTTTCTGAGGGTCCATTCGGTTCCTGTGGCGATTACCTCCACTGCTATTCATGTCCAAGGTGTTAGGAAAGCAGGCAAGCCAGAGCGTAGGAGGGAGAAAAGATGCAAAATTGGGACAGTCAGATGTGTAGCACATCGGAGGATCTAATTCACAGGTTTGGGGGAAATGATCATGGGGTAAAGTCACAAAACATCCATATGGAAAACTCAGGTGAATTTCATGCTTGTCAAATTGGAATCAGGGCTGGGAGTCCAGAAAATGTATTGCAGGTCAAGCACATGAGTCATCATGTTGCTAATGGTTAGATCTGCTGATTCCAGGTTCAAGGAACCGTATTTATCCAGAGGTTTTTCATATGGACCTTTAAGATTAAAAGAACGAAAGAAACTTGTATCATGATTATTCGCAACAGCCCCATGTGGTAGGTCCTTTTCTACTGTAAGCCTTTTTCTGTCCCATCTGTGTATCTCACAAAATTACTGAAGTCTGTTACTTCTCTTCCCATTTTGGTAAGATTTCATTTTGTACCAAAAGAAAACTAGTGGGCATGCACAGCACCCCAGAGTTCTTCACATCCTGCTTCTCAAGCACACCATTTTCGAAAAGGGTAATAGAAAACAAAAGCAAACATCACAACAATGGGTTGCACTCCATGGTCACTGTGCCCTGCCAGAGCGGACTTCGACAGTCACAAGAGTAGAGTCACAATTTCCCCGTTTTGCTTCACGAAGTGCCGAGGCCCCGCTCCCACCTTTCTTCACAGGGTGCTCCACTCCACCCCACATACCCATCAGACCTTGTGCATCCCGGAATGACTGGTGATGGTTATGAGGACCATCCAAGGCAACATTGGCTATGTCATGGGTGACTGTAGGGAGCACGGGGAAGCAAACATTGGGCGCTTTGTGCTGCGTGAGTGGAAGCGCTTTCCACCAAAACGAAACTGCTGTCAGATACTATCCAGCAATAGTTAAAGCGAGTGTGGCTTGGTCCCTGGACTGGAGATCTGGGAGCTCCGAGTTCTAGTTACTGCTCTCAGTCTAACCTACCTCACAGGGTTGTTGTTGTGGGGATAAAACAGAGAGAGAGAGAACATGGGGCGCTTCCTTGGGTTCTTTGCAAGGAGAAGAAAGGCAAGATGATGATGATGATGATGATGATGCTGATATCAAAACTCAGAACAGAAGAGCATTCCGTTCCCACACTGGCAAACCAGATGTCTGTAGGAAGCCCATAGGCCCGAGCTGCATGCAGTGACGCCTTCTTGGTTGACTTCCGCAATAAGCAATATGGGAAGACATTGGCCAGATGGCTGTTCCATGATTTTCCTAATGGGTTTCCAAGGTGGGGGAGCCAACAGGGTGAAGTTTCTGCGAGATTATGACGGAATGTCTCTTTGTGAGATTCCTTCCTAAATGTAAGGACAGTGTGGCTTTTCCACAGGCATTCTTTCTCAACAACTGGATTTAAAGGGGAGGTCTTTCTAGTCATTGCTGCATGTCAGAATCTCTGCAGATCTCCCAGAAATCTATCAGTGGAGCCGAATCTGCCTTCTGTCTTTCTCTGGTCTGTAACTCAGAAAGATGCAACTGGAAAGAAATGGTTTGAAAATGCAAAGGTCTTTCAGAATTTAAGGGAGCAAGTAAACAAAAGGTTTGGAGAAGGGCCTGAATGCAGGAAGGGAGGGATGCTGCCAGGTCTTTTACTGCTCTGGGTTTCAATACAGTCTTCATTTATTTTTCTTACTCTTTTTGTGGAAAATGCAAATAAACTTCTTTACAAGCTGAGAAACAGAACAGATCTTCTTTAATTTTTCCCACTTTTCACCGAGAAAGTGTTAGTTCCTGGTTTCATGAAGTTTGCACTCAAGATAAATTACCCTGCCTGACCTCGCAGAGCTCGTCAATGTATTCAGCAGGGTGGTGACAAGTGAGGCCAGAACTGAGGAGGAACAGTAGCTCAGCAGAAGAAAGTATGTTCTGTGTGAAGAACATTGCAGGTCCGGTCCCTGGTGTCCCTGTTTCTTTTATCCGTTTCCAAAGATCAGAACGGCTTAAGAACACCAGTGCAACTCAGGGTGGACATTGGCCTTCGTGGACAAACAGCCTCGTCTGGTGTCAGGATTTGGTGGGGGAGTCCACTTCCGGCCCATGTCTGTTTCTCATGTATTCACCCATAAATCTGTTCTCTCTTCACACCCTGTACAATTTTTTAAATGCATGCAAGGTGGATTTAACCTCCTATTTTTAAACAACCCCATCTCTTAAGTTATGCACCCCAAACATATGCTTTTTGAGCTGAGAATTGGAGCTAGCGCAGACCCCCCATGGTTCCGATCTGTTCTTTGGTTCAGCTGGTGTGGGCCAGGTCAGTTAGCCTCCTCCTCGGCAAAGGTGGGATGTTTCCAGTATCCTCACCCGGCAGCTTCCTAGGTGCCATGTGCAGCTCTGTTGGGAAGGAACTCTGTCTTTAAATCTACTGCAGTGGCTGATCTATTGAGGGGAGGGGGGAGATCTGGTACCCTCCAGATGTTTTGGACTACATTGGCCTTAACATGCAATGATCGGGGCTTACAGGAGCCGTGGCCTCAAACATCTGGAGGGATGAGTTGCTTCATCTAACAGGAGAGCGTGACAAGGCATGGTGCAGGGAACACAGGCTGGCCTCCTGAACTAGGAATAGGATTTAATGTCTATACCACGCAACAGCTGCAGCTCTCTGTTTATAGTGCTTTTGGTGCTTCAGATCAGGGACCTACTTTTAACGCAAGCAGCAATTTAGGGAACAGGTCAGTGGCTCCCACATGGCATCTGAGAAGCCATAGGAAATTTCAGATGCGCAGCTCTGAGGGCAGAGGCATTGTGCCACCTCGGAGCCAGCGACTGGAGCGCTGATTCCTTTTTCCTTGCCAGAGGTGAGGAAGGGCCCACACTCTCTTCTGTCTTCCTCTCTTTCTCTGGAGTTGGGAACACAACCTTGGAGAAGGAGAAATGGCACTCTGATTTACCCTGTGGCCTCCCCAGTTTCCTTTCCCCACCCTCTGAAATTGTTTCCTGGGTGTGCTCAGAATCCCATCTAGCAAAGATGCAAGGCAGGAGGGACAGATGTCCTCTGACAGCATCACCTGTCCTCCGCGGGGTAGCTGTCAGATTGACATTGCAACAGAACTCTGCTCTTAGGGGCTTGCTTTTTAACACTGTACCATATATTTGCATGGTGATCGTACTGCTGTGACCCACTGCAAGCCAAACATGGGGTTTCTGACCCATCTGCTGTTTGCTGACAGAGTTGGAGAACAGAAACAGCAATTCTAAGGGCTTTTCCACTCAAGCTGGGATTTCCTAGATCTGTTCAGGCACTGGCAAAGCAGTGCCACCGCTTTGCTGTCTTCTTAGGTGGTGGGAAGAGAAGGGAGTGCTTTCCCCAATCAGTATTTCCTAGGGTTGTTCCCCACAACTCCTGAAACCTTCACATCTCCATTCTGGGCAACCATTTCTGTTGGAGTTTCCCTCCACCCATCAGTGGTCCGATGGTGAAATGCCTTGCCCAAGATGCTAGTGTTTTTTATACACTAGCTGAAACCTCTCTTGCTCTCCCAAGCTTTGATGGTCTATAAGCAGTATAGGCTGTTGTTTCTTTTGCCATGATGGACATCTTTATTGTAATTTTTTCACAGTTTTGCTCTTACACTTGTGTTTTGGCTTTCTTTCTATTCCTTAATTTGGTAGTTTCTCAGCTCTGTATTTCTTAATGGACTGATGTTTGGTTTGTGAGTCATCTTGAAGACCGATGCATAGAAATGCAAAATACAAATGATTTAATAGATGATATGCCTGCAGAGTATGAGGAAAGATGGAGCAATTCATAGCAGTCAGTGTCAGTGTTTTATGTGTTCATTTACAAGCGGTGTTTATTTACATTAATTTGCACATTTTGAAAATGCACAAGTTTTTCCAGTTTTCTTATGCTCTTCCTCAACACACACAGTTTCATACAAATGTTATCTTAAATATGTTTTGGCACGTGAGTTTTAACCCAAAAGCCAGTGTGGTGTAGTGTTTAAGAGTCCAAGAGATCAGGGTTTTAGTCCCCATTCAGCTAGATAACCAACTGGGTGAGTTTGGACCAGTCAGATTCTCAGCCCATCCTACCTCACAGGGTTGTTGTTCTGTGGATACAACTGAGAAGAGGAGGAGACTTATGTAAGCCACCTTGAGTTCCTCAAAAGAGGAAAAAGTCAGAATACAAATATAATTAATAAATAAAATAATCTTGTATACATTCTAACGGCAAATATGAATTTTACACACATTTGGGTAAAAACCAGTTGGCTGAGAATTGTGTCACAAAATTCAGTATGTAAAAACTGAGAAATACAGTCACTTAGATCTGTGGGAAGTCACAAATCGGATGGGTTTCCCTAAAAGCATAGGCACAGCAACATGCTTCTGTGTGATCCAGTGCCATGGCTTGAGTGCCGGAGAGGCCAGGGGTCAAAGCCCACCCAGTGATGAAGCTCATTAGGTAATACTGGGCACTTTTGTCGCTTAGCCTAACCCATCACTGATTTTGCTGTGAGGATCCTGTGGCAGAGCATAAACTTCTCTAAGGTCCTTGGAGAACGAGAGGGATAAACATCATCTGATACAGCCATGACAACCCTTCTGTGGCTGAGGTACAGCCAGGACAGCAGACAGCAGCTCCCTTGGGAGTTTCTCCTTTGCTTGCAAAATACAGTGTGCAAACTTTCTTTCCATGAACTGACGGCTGTCAGTTATTCTAGGCACAAAGCATTTCTCTGGCATCCATGTAAGAATTAAGCCTGTTCCTCTGAATGTTTGATCCTAGGCTCAGAACTGGAGGAATGAAAATTATGAGCAACCCATTGACCTGGAAGGCTCTGGAGATGATGACCCCTTTGAAGACGAAGAAATTGAGGGAACAGAGGAATACTACTCGGGCTCAGGATCAGGGTGTGAGTAAATGCCTAAGAACCCTAAAAGATACCATCTGGCTGCAGGGAGCATTCTTATTGGTTGTTGCGTTATTTCAGACCATGAAATCAGGGGAGGAGTGGTTTGAATGCTCAAATGGTAAATAATGTGGCAATTTAGAAACTTGTGGTTAGGGACAGACAAATCTATCCATTTCAGTTCATTGCAGTTTCTCATTATTGCAACCTCATTTTTGTACTGTTTCCAGCTTGTTTTGCAAAATTGTTGTTTTTTTTATAAGTCTGTAGGACAATCTGTATGCAACTTGCCGCACATATTTCTACGAGCATGTTCTTAATGTATACATTTTAAGTGAGCGATCTCCTTGAATTGAATGCATCATTCTGTGTTGCCCGTACCAGCTTCCCATGCCTAGTCGTGCAGCCTCAAGTACGACCGCCCCGAGTGCAGTTGCCTTACCAAGGGTGCCTTTGCTTCTCTTGCAGATTTTGAGCAGCAGCCCGTGATCAAGACGGTGGTGCAGCTCACCACGGCTGCCCCTGTGCTCCTGGCCACCACCGCAGCTGGTTTGCCCACCACATCAGTGCAGCCCGTAGTCACCCCCTTTGCGCCACTTCCAACAGAGGAAGCCACCTCCAGCCCGGCAGTGGGCAGCCTGTCCACCACCAGAACGTCCGAGGCCGCTGCCGGCTCCACCCAGCGAGCGGCCAGCACCGCCACGGTCCAGGACATCGCTGCGACCACGACGACCGCCACCACCGCCTCCAGCACTACCGCCACACCCAAGCCGACGACGGTCCAGGGAGCCTTGCCCCCCTTGATCACCGTGGTAGCCACCACACAGGCCATCACCCTGGACCCGCCAACCACTGCCACCGTGGCCAGAACAGAAGTCACTGCAGCCCCGCTGGTGACCACCAGCATGGCAAAGACTAGCACTGTCCCACAGCCCAGCACTTCCCCGGAGCCGGACCTCGGGGAGAGGAGCAGCACGGTGCTGCAGCCCGAAAGTCCTGCGGCACCCACCCAGCCGAGCCAGGTATGGAGGCCTGCTGATGGAGAAGCTCCAGCGAGCCATTCCAGAAAGCCCCCCGAGGCACCAGGCTAGCAGGGAGCCTCCTCCACAGTGAGATGCGCTGGGGCAAAACGGGTATTTCTTTACTCTGGTCCAGGGGAGGTTGGTGATCCCTATAAACAGAATGGCTCCTTGGCCCTTGCAACTTTGCTTTTAGTTTTTGTTTCTTAGATTTTTAGCCTGCCCCATTAGACACGTGGCTCCCTGGGTGGGCTACGAACAATAAATCCATATAAAATAAATTAGGAGCTGTTCATGGTGCTGGATTTTCTCTCCAAAGTAGGTCCATCACCACAGAGCATCTTGGATTGCCCCTTCAAAGCTGAAAGGAAAAGCCGCCATGGGTGAGGAGTCCCCTTGGCTTAACAGCCATCAGCATCTCCTCCTCTGGACCTAACATTCCTGTACCACTTTGCCCCCGCCTTGCAAAAATGGCACAAGGCATCGTTACTTCACTCCCCAGTCCATCAAACCAGCCCTTCTGCCTCCAGTCCACCCTGGCCATCCACCCCAGATCACAACCCTGCTGATGTTACTAGCTTGGAAAGGAGCAAAGTAGAGATGGCTGGGGCGGGGGGGCCTTCTGTGCCCCACCTCCCCCGTTGTCACTCATCCATGGACGTGGCTGGCTTTCATAGGAATTGCCTGGATCAAAGCTCGTTATCAATTGTGTTGTCCTTGCAGCCATCTGCTGGTTGGAGACAGAAAAGGTGCTGTGGAGAAACCCAGTCCATCCCTCTGTCTTTATTCCTCATTTGTTAAACAGGAAGGGTGGTTTTTCTGTGCCGTTGTTAGGTATGAAGAAGAGGTGTGAGTGGGGGGGGGGTGTGTGTGGAGATCCTGTGAAGCGGAAGGTGATTTGGATTGTGTATTCTCATGACAACCCTGTGAAGTAACTTAGGCTGAGAGCGGGTGGATGTGATAGTTGTTGTTGATATTTATATCTCACCTTTTTTCCTTCCAAGGAACTCCAGGTGGGTTGCATAATTCTCCTGCTCCTCCCAATCTTACCTTCACAACAGCGCTGCGAGGTAGGCTAGGCTGAGAGTCTGTGGCTGGCCCAAAGTCACCTAATGAAGTCCATGGCTAAGTGGGGACTAGAACCCAGGTCACCTGAGTCCCAGTCCTGTGCTCTTAACCTCTACACCACACTGGCTCCTTGTGAACCTTGTGTTCAGTGTGGGTTTCAACTTGAGTCCCTCCAGTCACTGACTTTCCTGTGCAGTTGTCTCTGATTCCAGGGAGGATTTTTTCCTGTCCCACCCATGCACCAAACATGCTCGTGCAAGAAAACGGTTGTACCCCTTCCCCACACCTTTCCGATGCTTGCTACTGTGCATCGTCTCACATTCTTCAACATGTGGTAAGGCAGTCCTGCTACGTTTGAGGGCCCCCATTCAGCAAGGCAGGGTCCTTGACATTCGTTGGAGGGCTTGTCCCGATGGCACCCTTAGCCCCCATATGGGAAGGGCATGCCTTCTTGAATGGGTTAAATAGCTTGAGCATAACATGCTTCAGACCTCGGTGGATTCAGTGCCTCCTTTTCCAACCAATCTCTCCCTCTCCCTCTCCCTTTTTCCTTGACACTCCACTCCCAGCAAGGTGTGGAATTGTGACCCCCTGATTTCTACAAGGGTTAGCCAGTCTGCATTCTGCACAACCAAACAGGTTCGCTCTGCACAACCACATTTTGCTGGAAAGAGGAAGTCGCTGCTGAGTTTGTTTGTCCAAAAAGTTTGATCCGCAATTTTGAGTGTTTGGAACTGGGATGCATAAGCATTTTGTTTCTGCTTACAAATCATCACCAACTGACCCTTAGTAATCCTGAACTCATACGCAAGAACATTCTCCTGAAAAGCTGGCATGTTCTGGACCCTGTGATCACATTTGAAGCATGTGTATTTTCCCCCCCCCCAATGCACACTTTAAATTGGGTGTCCTCCTAGAAATTAAGGCACCTTAGCAAGAGGGAAATCGCACTTTTGTCACCCAAATGTAAAGAAAAACAGCTTGTAAATCCAAGGTTGAAAATGGAGTCCAGAGAATCTTTTTGAGCTGAACCCCTCCCCGTTTCTTAAGAGTGTAGGCAAAAATGCAATGCTCAAAGTCACTACTGTTCCCCAAATACTTCCTCAAATTTCTTTTCTGTGGAACAGAATTATTATGCATTATTTCTGCTCCTCAAGGCATCTTTCTTACTTACTTATTTATTGAGCTGAAAAAAATTGCATTTTTTCACGTTGGAAGAAGCTGCATGTCAAAAATTGCTGTTTTTTCCACTTGCACCTGATTTCCAATTAAAAAATACATTCCTCCCATATGATAAAGTGTGCAGTGCAGATTTGGAGGGAGTTTGGAAGTGTGCGCTTGCACAACTGTGCAGATTTGAATGTGAACGTAAGTTGGAAAAACTGTGAAAATTTTATGAGAGTGGCGTTCCTGCTTGTGTTTGCATTTGAGCTTGCAAGGGAGATGTTTTGTGATCAGGGATGCAATTCTCATGCATCTTTAGCTGCTTTCATCCCTACTTTACATGTTAGATCTACAGCGGTCTCGTTACACCAGTTCTATCTCCTGTCTTCACATTTATACTTCCACCATCCTTTTAACTGTATCTTGTGCTTTTTCACAAGTTGCTTCTACTAATGCTTGCATTGGTACCATACTAAAGTCTTGATCTTTAGTTCAGGGCCAGAGTAAGCAGACGCTAGAACATTTTGAAGCATTAAGTTGTCTGGGAAGAGCTTAGGATGTCATAAAATTCCTCTGCCCTCCATCCCTTTCACATGGACACATTTCCCAGCCATTTTTGTGATGCTATACAGCAAATTTGCTATTTGTTTGCAGCATCCTCTCTCCCGGGTCTATCCTTCTGACTGCTTTCTTCAGAATAAAATTTCCCTTGAGCAGTTAATGTGAACTTCTTAATACGCTAATGCAGAGCCTCTCCCTGTGCTCCCAAACAAACTCTCTTTTTCATCTGGAGCATGGGTTCCTGACAAGCAAGGCCAGATCTGACGGGGGTGTGGGCATTCAAAAGAGATTAGTCTTTGCCTCCCCCTCGTGGGCACTCTCAGACAGCAGGATGGCTACTTGATGCAATTCATGAAACATTCCCTGGGAAGATGGGTAGCTCCACAGCCATGTAGGAGAAACAGCCAGAAGGGAAGGCAACAGAGCACAATGAGAGAACGCAACCAGTTTGCCCGACAGTTCAAAATGCAACCAAGAAAAGCAGCGTGGTGGTGCAGTCACCTTAGGGAAGGCACAGGCTTCTAGGGAGTGGCTTGGGAGAGGCAGCATCTCCAGTGGAAGAACCACCCAATCCAGAGTCTTTCCAGCATGGAGAGTAGTGCTTTCCGCTTTGCATCCTTTCCTTAAGCTTTTTGTCAACCACAGCCAAACTACTACGCTGTCCTCCATTTTCATCACTGCTAAGACCCGGGTAAAAATACTCCGTAACCCTTCAACAGAAGTAATTGTGCAGAGTGTCCTCCTTTGAACCCTACGCGAACATTAAAATGTGAGTGTGTCGCAATTGCTGAATAAATGGCTCAGCAGCACTCAAGGGAGAGGCAGCGCTTGGGCAAAATGGCACCACACGCATGGAGACGGTCTCTGCGATTCGCTTGTCTGCCTCGCACCTCTTAGAGCAGAGGTGCTGAACCTCTTTCATTCCAAGGGCCGAATTTCATGTCAAAGATGCTCTCAGGGGCAGCATTCCAGTGGAGGTTGTGGCCGAAGGCAAGAGGAGCGGAGCCACAGCGGCCACATGTGTTGCCTTAAAGCCTGATTTTAGGATAAGGAAAAACTTCCCTGTATGCAGGGGAAACAAAGGGGGCTTGCTTTGGCCAGGGAAAGGGGGCATGGCCCAAGGGGGACCCTCTGCAGGTTACGTGTGGCTTCAGGTTATGAGGCTTTGCACCCGTTAGAGGGTGTTGCTCTTGCTCGAATCATAACAATAACGCAGGAGTCGTGCAGGTTCGTGTGAAGCTTCTCCGTGAGGCCCCTTTTCCAGATGGGATGACCAGAACAGCTTACGGTCATTTAAAATTGGACATCCCTGCAAATCAGTTGGGAACAGATCATTGGGGCCAAGAATCCATGTTCTGAATCCAGAAATATTCATGCAGTGTTGGGGAAGTGGGGTTCAGGCAGGGTGGGGCAGCAGCATGTAAGACTGGAAAACGAGAACTGGGAGAACCCAGACTGGACCGATTCTTCCATCTCTAGAATGGAGTGCTTTGAGAAGTGCTCATAAAATAGTACAAGCCCCAAAGAGAAATGCCACGAAGGGGAGGGAACATTCCTTCCTCCCACTTTCTCTGAGTTCTTCTTGTTCTCTTTCCCAGGGAAAGCCTCTGAATATGACCCTTTCCACAGCAACGAACAATGAGCTGGAAGTCCCCATCAGCGGAGACTTTGAAATCCGTGAGGAAGAGGACACGGCTCAGACAGAACTCAGTAATGAGGTTGTTGCCCTGGTCACCCCAACAGCTGGACCAGGGCTGCGGAAGAATGCCGAGCCGGGGCTCATAGACAATACGATAGAGTCCGGAAACTCTGCTGCACAGCTTCCACAGAAAAATATCCTGGAAAGAAAAGAAGTGCTTATAGGTAAGATGCGTGCACGGCCGGTGTCCCCATCTGTGTGCATGTGGTGGAGAAACGGTTTATCCTGATGGGCGTGTATGAATGCTAGTAACTGGAAAAGCGCATCAGTAAAAAAGGTGAGCAGTACTGGAATTCAGTGTTTGTCATCAACCTCTAACCTCATTTTATAGTAGTCCGTTATTGTGAAAGTACAAAGCTGCAGGTTACAGTGATTCCAGAAGATGTATTGTGGAAGGCTATCTGGAGCATCCCTGCTTTGAGTGTGGCATTCATACTGTCCATCTGAAATTATGCCACCCTTTCTTGCAACCTGAGGAGAACAGGGAATCCAAGCAGAGAAAATGTGTCTGGCGTGCACAAGATCTTAATGTGTTCCTGTAATCTCTCTGTTCGAAAGAATCGGGGCTCAGCTGCACTCTGTGTTAGCATGTGGCTGATACATCTTTTTCTCCCTCTAATGAGGTACCTGAGGCCCTTCTCTGAATGATGCAGGTAGGATTAAACCTTTCCTCTCAGCCATTCTCTGCCCTTAATCTACCTAAAGAAGGGGGAAATAGCTCTGTGCCAGCTGAGGCTTTTTTTGGTAGAACTTCACAATAAACAAACACATCTTTTTAACTCCATGTGTTTTACCTTCAGCAGTTCCCACCACAGGAGGGAACTGATAAGGTGGATCAAATTTTTTTGTATGAGTACAGCGTGGAGGGGTCAGATGGGAAGGTTTAACCTCCCTGTCTCACAAATAGTGATCCCAATTCAAATCAGGAGTCCAGACACTTGCATTAACTTTTATTTCTAAATTTAGGATCAGCTACATATTTACTCTAACAGGTAGTTTTGCCTTCAAATGGGAGGCAAAGAGAAAGACCCCATCCAAGCCCTTGGAAAACTGCTGCCATTGGAAGGTCGTTGCTGTCACTGCATTTATATTTTACCCTTTCTTGCGTTTGTGATGAACCAAGCTTACATAGCTCCAATTTGTCCTCACAACAACAACTCCGGTTCGGCCGAGAGTGAATGACTGGCCAAAAGGTAACCAGGTGAGATTCATGGCCAGGTGGGGACTAGAACCCGCACCTCCCAAGTCCAACATTCTCACCTCCACCCCACACTGACTCTGTGCATAGAACTGGGCTAGTTTGACCCCCTGGGTTAATTGGACTGCTGAGGCCCAATAGGCAACGGCCGGGTTTTATGTATGACCTTCATTTGCCATGTCATGTCATGTGTTGTCTTTATGTTGTTTATGAATTTTAATATGACATAAGCCACCCAGAGAGCCTAATGCTGGTGAAGTGGCATAGAAATTGAATAACCAACAGTAATGAATTTATTTGAAATATTTTTATCCCACCGCTCAGCCAAAAAGCCTCTTGGAGTGGTCTACCAGCTATCAGTGAAACATGATGGTCCTTGCAATTTAAAAAGACACCTTGCACAAGGAAAAAATGCCTGGGTAGGGAAAAGCGGGGAGGGGTCTTTCAACTGCACTGGTGGGATGCCCTGTTTCCCTTTCCCATCTCCCACAGCTCAGCCGGCTGGCTGGATCAGTCGTCTGAGGTTGTATCCAGCAGATTCCGAAACAGCTGGGTTTGAAGCTGCTCCATCTTCCACATGTATAACCCAGACCAGGTCCTCTTTCAAAGCGGTCCAAGCCGTGGGCATCACCATGCCCAACCCGCTGCCGTGGCATCGCCTCCAGCCCACCACTGACGGGACTTTTTCTCTCTCTGTCTGCAGCTGTGATTGTGGGAGGAGTTGTCGGGGCTCTGTTTGCGGCCTTCCTGGTGATGCTGCTCATCTACCGGATGAAAAAGAAAGACGAGGGGAGCTACACTTTGGAGGAGCCCAAGCAAGCGAGTGTCACATACCAAAAACCTGACAAGCAGGAGGAATTCTATGCATAAACCAGAACCTCGAGTGCCTCGCTAATTCTTTCTGCCCTGAAGCCGTCCTTTTCGTAAAGAAGCAAAGCAAAACAAATATCTCTTTTATTCACCCAGACTCTTTCTCTCTTTCTAATCAAGTCTGTGAATTTTAACAAGATGGATCGAAGAAACTGACAGTTTTAAAAAGTACTGCACATTTTTTAAAAGGAAAACCCAAGTCAAATCTTGTTCCAGCTCACAGAGTGTTTAAAGAAACCTTTGTGAGGAGCAAGCAGGTAGCACCCTCGTGGCTGTCTCCGTTGGATGAATGCTCGAGCTAGCAGCTTTGCCAGGGATGTCCTGGATTCGCACGTCCCTCAGGACTAGAGCCTTATCTTTAAAAAGTAAACATGAGGTGGACAGTTTCGGACTCTGGCACTTTGCAATACACTTCAAGACAAGGGTCTGACTCATCCCAGAGGCTCACAGCCAAATCAATCAATTGTGCTGGAGCGGGGCTTGCCGACTGCTTCACAGGGGTTCTCCCAGGGTCTGCGGAAAGCACCTTTTAGGACTGTGCATCACTTCCTTTCCAAGAGCACCTCCCTCTGTCCCATTATTGTTCACAACCAGACACTTGAAAGCTGTACGCCTGCAGCGGGATTATCCGAAATTCGCAGAGGTTTCCTGTTAAGCCTTTTGCCAAGGTTTATTCAGCTGGGCTTCACTGTGACACTGAAAACTTGACTTGTGCAGTATTGCAAGCTTAGTCAGATGACCGAGGAACATGTTTTAGGATGTTATTCTTGGGGAAACAGAGATACGTGTGTGTGTGTGTGTGTGTGTGTGTGTGTGGAGGTCGGGGTGAGAATGCAAGCTATCTTCTAAGTACATAGGAAAGAGATCCTATTTCACATATCTCAACAAGTGCTGTGGTCATTTCCTTCTTTGACAGGGTTGTGGGGGATACGGGAAAGGCAAGAGCAGAGCAATATGAGACCATAATGCACTTAGGCAAATCTTTGGGCTTGCATGACTGTAAATAAATGGAAGCGTGGGAAAAGGAGATGCTAGAAGTACAGATGTAGTTGATGTGGGAAGTCTTGTATCCCCCAAAGCAGTAACTCCTAGGTCAGACCCAAGCAGGCAAGTATAGCATCGCACAGGACTCTGACCAGTCATCAAGTTATCTTTTCCACTGACAAGTTGGGGGAAGGATGGGTGTCTGCTCCCAGATCTGCGGACGATTCAGGTGTGAATGTTGCAGCGGGCCAGGAGCAAAATTTCTGGTTGATAAGGATAAATTGGAGCATTGGATTGTATGCAATAAAGCCAAGTAAAGCAAAGACAAAAGCTAACTATTACTGATCAGAAAGTAAAGCCAAGCATATGGGAAAACACAATCTGGGTGGAGAAAAAAAAATCCTGTTTGAAATTTATGAACGCTAAGTGTGGTTTAATTTTATGTAATTAATGGGATGTTGTTACAAGATGCCAGTTGCTACTGGCCAGTTCTGACAATGTGGATGCATGTTGCTTTATGTGAGCACTGAGTGTGTGCTTCTTGACCAGAGCACTGCAACCAGATCAGGTCTCCTCTGTAAACAAACTGGAGATGATCAAAGGCTGAACAAAGGTGTTAATGAACTTGGCACGTGAAGAAAAGCTCAAAGCTCTGTTTAACTTTTAAAAGGAAAAGTAAAGGAGGGCAAGTACTGGCAATTTTCTAGGATCTAAAACAATGGTGGGGAGACTTCCGGGCAAATCAGGTTTTTTTAAACGAGATCCTTAAGAGCCACCAACCAGAGCCGGGTGCAGAACTTGGGATTAAAGAACAAGGTGCTTCTGAGCCCACAAATTGAGTTTTGGCAGTGATCCCATAGTCCGTTCACAGAAAAGTCTGTTCCGAGTTAGCTCACTCTTTCAGCACTTCAGCAGCCCAATTTAGGTTAAAGAACATTTTTCTGCTGCTGTTAAAACTATTGGGAGTCAGAAACCTTGCTGATCTTCTGTAAATCACTGAGAGATCTACCTTCTGCCTATCCAAATCTGAAAGGCTAGCAAAGACACTTGAAGAAGAAGAAGAGGGAGGAGGAGGAGGAGCTGGTAGCATGAAGTATTTAAATTCAGACCTGTTTGGAAGTTTCCCTCATCACATGCAATCAGGATGGTGTGAGTGGGGAGAGAAGAAATAAAGCTTTGGGCCTCCACTTTATCAGTATCCTCGTTGCCTGTCTCCAAGGTTTGCTACATCCCAGGGGCTGAATGGGGTACCTCCCCCCCACAAAAAGAAAAAAAAAAAAAAACAGGTTTGTAAACCATCCAAGGGACCTTTGTGAGAACAGAAGATGCCCCAGTGCAGAATTTCTCTCTCCAACTCATGGAGAGCTGTGGAAACAGGTATGAGGGCATGACAGAGAGAGCGCGACCCCCTTTGCCCCTCCGGTTGCAAGAAGAGCTGTGGCTCAGTGGTACAATCCCTGTGCGTACCACTCTGCACGCCAAAGCTTCCGAGTTCCATCCCTGCGACTTCAGGTGGGGCTAGGAAAATCCCTGCCTGCAGCCCTTGTGAATTCCTGTTACTCAGTGTCAGCAGTCCCGTACCAGGTGGACCCATGGTCTGGCTCAGCCTCAGGCCTTGTGGTGTCTCCTGCTGTGCACATTTACTTCCTTCAACAGTACTTGCTCTCACTGAGTTCAATGGGACTCACTCTTCCCAGGTAAGTACACCTGCAGTGACCTCCATAGATGCCAAGAAGTGAACATCTCACTTGCAAAAAGAGTTAGCATCAAGGCAGGAGAACCTGTGGGGGGGCCTCTCCCTGGATGGTCTGAAGGAAAGTTTTAGTGGAGGCTCAGTGGTGGAACATCTTTTTTGCACGCAGAAGGTCATGTCCTGGTGTCTCCAGCTGGGCTGGAAAAAGTCCTGCCTCAAACTGCTGGAGAACAGCTGTCAGTCGGTCTCAACGGTGCTGGTAGATGGACCAAGGATGGACGCAGAAGGACGTAACTTGGTAATGGTGCTTCTGACGTTCTCACGTTGAGTCCTTTATGAGCATCCATTAACCATGGGTAAGCACAGGAGCCACGCAACTGGGTTGTCACAGATTACAATGAGAACAGATCGACAATATTTTTGTTCTAAAACTGAAAGTGGGCTGATCGATAATGTGGGCAGAGATGGGAGGCGCAGAGCAAAAATAATGTGAGCCCTCCCAGCCAGGTAGGAGGTTAAATCCAAGCAAAGGAGGGACAGAAACATCCACTCAAATCGCCCTAAGTCAAACTGCTGAGGTGTCATGCAGATCGGCAACAGGAGTGAGAACGTGATCGCCCGTTTGCTCCCTGACTCACGGAGCACTGAAGTGTTGGCATGAAGAAACAGAGCTGCTTTTCTTCCTTAGCACCACCATGCTTTCTGAGTGGAAGGGAGACACAGCTGGTCCCTCACTTTGACAACTTTGCAAAGGTTGCCCTTGATCTGTAGGAACTAATGTCGTGCTAGATTAGCTTTCCCAAATCCAAATGTGTTGGGGCTCATGCTGGCTGGAGACGGTGGGGCTTGTATTTCTACACATCTTCACGTGCCAGTTTGGGAACTATGTACTGTATATTCTAGTGGTGTAATTCTCAGCCTAAGACTAGCTGGTCTTGGGAATAAGCTTTCTTCCAGTTTTATACAAATCATCCTTCTGCATGAAAGCTAGAAATTCATGAGAAGCGTCTGCATCGCTGGTGTGTTGGTTTTAAATATTGGTCATGATGTGCAGCACAGTCTCAGATGCGTGTCCAGCTACTTTCAGTGGGGCTTACCGATTGGGAAGCATGGGATACCCAAAGCCTGCTGGAAGACCATCTGCATCCTGCCAGTGCTAGTGCAGAAAAGGAACAAGTAGTTTAAATATCTGGTAGGAATTAAACCAAACATCAGTGAATGTGACCAAATAAGGGTGCCTATTGCATACACTCATCTCTAAAATTATATTCATCATCATCATCATCATCATCATCATCATCATCATCATCATTTACATTTCTGTACCTTACTTTCTATTGCTCTGTGAAATTTGGGACAGCAACTGATCTGAGCTTAACTTTCTTTTCATGGGAGTTTTGTTTCTTGATATTCACACTGAATCAAGTAGGAATTTTCATCAGTAGCCATTTTGAGTCTGATGTAGCTGCTTCCTATGCTACAAGATTAATCCAGGTGGGTCTCTCAGAGTTAGAGAGGTTTGTAGTACCCTAACCTCCAATGAAAGAGCAGCTATTTTCAAGGAAATTCCTTTCATCGCAGAAGCTAATGTTTGCATACAATATTGGAGGGCTTTTATACTGCAGCTTTCCTAGAATATGAAGGTCGAAGTCAAATGCTTCTAGTGATAGAATGCATGCATTGCAACCGCACAGCTTTCCACCTGAAAAGGGTTGGTGAGAAAGGGTAGGTCTCAATGTTTTGTTCTGGAGAGGATGCAGCAATTGGTGGACCTTGGTCATGGAAAGTGGTCCTTGGTGTGTCATTGTCATCTGGGCAATGTAGTGGGCCTCTTTGATGTGACAGAATGAATGGAAATGGTCCAGGACAATGTCTGAAGAGCAACCCTGTGGAGGTGTCCACTCGTTTAAAAAAGCAAGGATGGGCTGGGTCTTTGTGAATGTAGGATCAGGGTGGAGCAGCTTGGAGGAAGCATGGGACTGTGTCCTCCTTGGTGATGGTGTGTGTGAGGGAGAGAAAAAGAGAGAGGATGCTGTGTATTCTCCACAGTGCATTGAGAGTTCAACTAAAGGAACCAGGAGAGAATTGAATCTAAAGCGGGGAAAATGCTGAGTTGTGTGACCACCTTCCTTGAAGCTGATGTGGAGCCTTGTGGGTGTATAGATGGTTACTTGAGTACATGGGGCGGCCTTTCCCTGGCTGATAGTGCTCTAGAAATGTGCAGTGAAAAGCTAATGGCACTGATGGTGGCCGTAGTCTGGAGGTTGAGCTTGGCTGAACTAAGACCTGTACACCACTACTATCAAAGACTGTTTCTTTGTGAAAAAATGTCTTCCAAACAAACATTTGACTATGAATATTACTGCGATGGGTACTGTGAGGCTCTGGAATCAGGTACATCTCACTGTGTTAGCAGAAACCGCTCAAAGGCTGCAGATTATTTCCCCAAAAGTTGTTTACACAATGTATACAGTTTTACTCACCTAAGTAGATCAAACCCTTCTGGTCTAACTAGAGGCATCTGAAAACTTTGGGTAGCTTTTTGGGGGGTTGAATATTCAAAAGGATACGGGAATTGAGTTTACAGTTCTTGAATTGTGAGATATTTTGGGATTCAAAATCACAAACTACAGCATATGGGTGAATTTGCAACAGAGGAGATCATCTTCTTTGCAGAAAGTTGAGTGTTGGTATTTCAGTTCTCTTGAACACCAGGCACTGACAAGCATTCAGTTCCAACATTTGTTTTTATCTTCTACACACAAGCTGCCAAGAGCTGGAAGGGTTTGCTTTCCAGTTGGAGCACCAGTGTTCCTGAGAGCTAGAATTCTAGGTCTGAAAAGACCGACTATGTGTGGCCTGAAGGAACAGCCATGTAGTAATTCCTCCACAAAGACTTCCGCATTTATGTACACTTCTCAGGGCTTTACATAATCCCATTCGTATCTAATCAGAGGTAAATCCCACTGAATTCAATGGAGCTGACGCCTAGGTAGAGGTGCAGAGGATTGCAACCTGACTTTTCCTGGTGAACTCACAATGGCTTCTTTGTCTAACTACTCTTTCTCCACCCCCGTTTGCATTTTCCCAGCAATCAACTCTGATTCAGGCTTCCCCGAACCTCCAGATGTGTTGGAGTACAACCCTCATCATCCCCAGACAAATGCTGACTGGTTAGGGCTGATGGAGTTCGTGTTCCAGTGCATCTGGACAGTGCTGGGCTGGGGAAGGCTGCTGTGAGTTGCCCGTTACTTAAAATACACTCTCCTTCCCCGGCAACTCCCATGCAACTCGGTGATGAAAGCCGATGGTGTGTCTGCCGCATTTGCAGCCCTCGATGGCACACTTTTCCTTTGCCCCTACAGGAATTGTGATCCCATAGATACTGGCCTAGGTTGCACCTCTCAGATCTGACCTCTGCAATGAAGTGTGATTCCTCCCATCCCACCAGCAAAATTAACTGCCAATTTTCCGCACTGAAAGATGAATGAGATTCTCTCTTCTGCTAGCCGTGAGGCATCGAAGGGGGTTGGGTTTCTAGGAGACGGTTGCCAGAATTTCTTTCATGTGACATTTTGCCAGAGGCTTGTCTAGCTTGGCTGCTGCCTACCAAATAAATGAAAACCAGCT